CTTTAATGTAGCTGTACAGTTCATACTCACAGATTATTGTTGTATGTGAAGGATAAGGATGTGAACACACAACTTGTATGGTTGGATGGTCTGTAAAGTGTACAGTGTGCAGTGTACAGTGTACAGTACTGTACATTATAATATTGTTTATGTTTAAGAGCATGTTTGTATAAGGATAAGGCTGTGTACCCACAACTTGTATGGTTGGATGGTCTGTACAGTGTACAGTGTGCAGTGTACAATGTACAGTACTGTACATTATTATATTGTTTATGTATAAGAGCATGTTTATATAAAGATAAGGATGTGTACACACAACTTGTATGGTTGGATGGTCTGTACCAAGATAAATGAGCGAACTTCCTTCCTTCTCATTCAGGGTTAAATACTCCTCTCTTATTCTGCTTTTTCTCTTTTTCCCATTTCTAATAATTTTCTTTGTGTTCTTATCTTATCTGTTTTCACTTTTTCATTCTCTTTCTTTTCGTTTTCTGCTTTTAATCTACTATTTCTGTTTTATCCATTCTTTTTAGCTCATTCATTCTCTGTAATCCCTTCTTATTCTATCCATCTTAACTCATTCATACTCCCTCCTTTCTTATTCTATCCATTCTAACTCATTCATTCTCTATCCTTTCTTATTCTATCCATTCTAACTCATTCATACTCTATCCCTTCTTATTCTATCCATCTTAATTCATTTATTCTCCATCCTTTCTTATTCTATCCATTGTAACTCATTCATACTATCCTTTCTTATTCTATCCATTCTAACTCATTCATACTCTATCCCTTCTTATTCTATCCATCTTAATTCATTTATTCTCCATCCTTTCTTATTCTATCCATTGTAACTCATTCATACTCTATCCCTTCTTATTCTATCCATCTTAACTCATTCATACTCTATCCTTTCTTATTCTATCCATCCTAACTCATTTATTCTCCATCCTTTCTTATTCTATCCATTGTAACTCATTCATACTCTATCCCTTCTTATTCTATCCATTGTAACTCATTTATTTTCTATCCTTTCTTATTCTATCCATTGTAACTCAGTCATACTCTATCCTTAATCTATTTATCTCTCTTTTCTATTGTAATTTTCATCTATGAGTGCTTTCACTATCCCTCATTTCTTTTAATTCATTCATTCTTTCGTTCTTACTTTTTAAAAATATTTTTTACTGATTAATTTTTTTTGATCTAGTTGTTATCTATTTAACTAATGGGCTTTTCTCAGTTTTTTTACACCCATTTAAACTAAACAATGGTCTCTGTTCTTTTTTAATTATTTCTTTTTTATCTTTTTTCTCTTTCTTATGTGTGTCTCTTTTTTTTATTAAATCTTGTTTTTTCTCTTTTTCTTCTATTTCTTCTTTTAACATATTTCCGAATACTTTCTATCGAATTTGATTTTCTGTCTACTCCTTCCCTCCCCCCACTTATTCGTTGTTCGTTTTTCTTTCTCTCGGTTTTTCTCCCTCTGAGTATGTGAAATGAAATATGTTTAAAAAGAAAATTCAAACAATATTTTACCTAAAACTTTGACATTTTTTAAACTGCAATATGTAGAGGATCAATTTATCTCAAAATAAATTCAAATCAACAAGTTTTCACTTGTAAAACCTCCCAACATATATTAGCCGCGGGAAACATCATTAATCTTTTAAACTACAAATTATATTAATAAATAAAGTTTGAAGCATCTAAACATGCTTTTTTTAAACTTAAAAAATCTTGTAAAGGGAGGGTCACTTGACAGTACCGTTGTAAATATGATATATCTCTTGTAAAGGGAGAGTCACTTGACAGTACCGTTGTAAAACTGACATGCCACTCTGGTAAAGGGAGGATCACTTGACAGTACTGTTGTAAAACTGACATATCACTCTTGTAAAGGGAGGATCACTTGACACTACCGTTGTAAATCTGACATGTCACTCTTGTAAAGGGAGGGTCACTTGACAGTACCGTTGTAAAACTCACATGTCACTCTTGTAAAGGGAGGTACACTTGACAGTACCGTTGTAAATCTGACATGTCACTCTTGGAAAGGGAGGGTCACTTTACAGTACCGTTGTAAATCTGACATGTCACTCTTGTAGAGGGAGGGTCACTTGATAGTACCGTTGTAAATCTGACATGTCACTCTTGTAAAGGGAGGGTAATTTAACATTTTGTGCATAGCCGCTTAAAGTTTTAAGACTTGATAAAAGTATAAATTCCCTGGAAAGAAAATTGTGTGAATGTAATTGTATAATTTATCTGAATGTATAATGTATTGGAAGCATTAAGGCTGTGAATACATGAATTCTAAACTCAAGGAATACATTCATGTATTTAAACACATGAAAGTTTTCAGCTTGAAGATTGTAAACTAAAACATATGGATTCTTATAAGATTGTAAAAATGTTATTTTCAAACACAAAATAAAAGCTCAAATATATTGAACACTTTCAACAAGCTCAAATTTTCCAATCAGCTTTTCGAGTTTTTAATTTTTGTAAATGTAAAATTAAATCTTTGGAACTGAGTCCAAAATATGCACATGGAGCAGATATAGAATTGAACCTGGAGAAAACAGAACCTTGATACTTTTAATATTCTTCCTTACTCCAGGATAAGATAACATTCAGAGCCCAGAAGTAATTGGAAATAAGGGGAACCGTGGAGGGAANTATGAGATTGGATGGGATTGGATGGGATCTGAAAGTGTGACCCTCTCTCCCTATACCCTTGTTCTTCTCTACATAATGTTGGCAAGAGTGTCGTGTAGAAACCATTCCTTGCCAGCTATTCCTCTATTCATATATGTACAAATATAAAAATACATATTATATATATTTACAGAAAGTACATTGACATGCACGTGTCTTTTTTTGCAACCTTGGGAGTTTAAAGAGACTGTAAGCGTAATTTCAAGTGACCCTCCATGCAAACAACTGTATTGTACGCCTAAATGCGTTGTCTAGCTGATTAAGTATGAATTAGATATCCATGTTTTGCATTCTTTAACCGGGTTGTTTTAAGTTGCGGGTTCGCCGCAAAAGTGACTTGCGCATTTCTAGCTTATAGGTGGAGAAATCTCGAGAAATAAACACTGTTCACGTCAGGAAAACGACATCATCGTCTACAAGTTTGATCAGTTTAAGGTTTCAAGGGTTCTGTTGTAAATCGGACATTGCCATTTTTGCATGTAGGTCACTTGAAATTACGCTTACAGTCCCTTTTAAACTATGCAGTGCACAAAAACATATACTTGTGTGTGACTATACACACATTGATTCAATTATTCAATTTAATTTTATAATTCAATCCAATGAATGAAACAAGATGGCGGAATACAATTTTTTTAGTTAATCTCCACGCAAAGATGACAATACCAAATTCACAATGGTAATCTTGAAACCTTTTTCTGATTAGAAGATATTGATGTTTTTTAAGTTTAGTGTTTCATTCTAATAATTCCTGTAGCAGAAGTGCGCATCATAGACAACCAACAATTTAGAATAATCAAGTTTTAAATAATAAACATTGATATCTAGTTCGTAATTAATCGAATAAAACTGTTCAGCGTACACCGTTGTGAATCGGACATTGACATCTTTGTATGGAGGGTCCCCGGACATACGCTTACTGTTTCTTTATCAAGTAGATTAAAGTTAAAAAGGAAGGATTTAAGGATGAATAGGAGCCAGGAAGAATGAATGAAAGGATGAATGAGAATGAATGAATGAATAATCATGAATGAATTCATGTTTATATAAGATGTGTACACTGTAAAGCCTACTTTATTCCTCAATATTTTCTCCTATTGTGACCGTAGTTAAGCCACAATACATCTACATGCATGGGTTGGGTGGGATAGATTAGTTAGGATGGGGGTGAATGTTTGTTATTTGAAACTGAAATCGTAGAAGTTATAACATGTACTGATGTAGATATAATACTGAACATGCAAGTTTTCTATGTTTTAAATACCTAAGCTATGAATCATCATAAGTTTAAAACTATAGTTAAAATGTTTGGCCTAAATATAATATACGTTTAAAAAGTAATAAAATAATAAACTTGTAAAAAAGTGGAGGAGAGGGCTTCTGACCTAAATTAGAAATAATGAATTTATATTAATACCCGTGCACATTTAATGATCCCCTTTCCCTTTCCCCTTTTCTTTCCCAATTCCCTTTCTCCTTCTCTTTCCCCTTCATTTCCTCTCCTCTTTCCCAATTACCTTCCTCGTTCTCTTTCCCAATTCCCTTCCTCCATCTCTTTCCCCTTCGCTTTCCAAATTCCCTTCCTCATTCTCTTCCCCCTTCCCTTTCCCTTTCCCTGTCTCTTTCCCTTTCTCTTTCCCCTTCGCTTTCCCAATTCCCTTCCTCCTTCTCTTCTCCCTTCCTAGTATTTTTCCTCGCTTCCTTCTCTTCTTTTTCCCTTTTCCTTAAGAACAGAAGGAAAATCAATTGATGCATAACAAATTCAAATAAATAAATACAAAAATAATCCTGTTGAACACAAAGAATACAATTGAAACAGAAAAGTAGTATTACATACACCTTTAAAATGAAAAGGAAAATTATAGGAAAAATAGATTTTAAAAAAATCAAAAATGAATGAAATTGAAAATGCATTTAAATTCTGCATCCTATTGTTGAAAACTATAAGAGAGAGGAGGAAATTAATTCATAGTATTCACTGTTTGTTAATTTTAACTCTCACTGTGCAATCAACAAATTGAAATTGAAACGAAAATATTTAAAGAATTTCATGAAACTGAACAATAGCAGTCTTTATTTAAATATACAGGCTCTGAAATGTCAAAATTTAGCTACGATAGAGAAGTATTTTAACTATCTGTACCTAGTTTAGCTAATTCTTTTAATTAGTATTCTTACTTTATTATTCATTAATTCCAACCTGTGAAAAAAGTTAGAATAACTTGCATCTTCTTTTCAAAGAATATTTTTTTTAAAATATTAATTTTATCTGTTTTCAGACGAGTTATGAGATGGAGAGGTACCTAAAGGAGCAGGAGCCCCAGATAAAACCTGAGCCCCTTGATCTAGGAGATCATCAGGAGCTGACCAGCTCCTGGCTCAAGGGAGAGCTGGAGGACGACTACGGACCTATCATCAAGCACGAACTTATCATCAAGTCCGAACCGTCCGACCCGGACGATACAGACGACGATCGGCTCAGCCTGGACGAGTTAAACATTTGGGACCAAAGATTATTTAAGTTTAAAAGTGAAGAATCGTCCGCCGGAGTTTTATCGTCTAGTTCTTCAACATCTAGTATCCACTCCTTGGATGGGGATACTCCACCCTACTCCCCCACCTTGAAGCTAGAACATAATAACCCAATATCGCCGATGGATACACGACAACAGCTGACCGTCAAGGTGGCCGGCAGCCCATTTCCTCTTCAAACCTTAACACCTCCGTCATCGCCGGAATCTGGAACCGCCGTTAGAACCCTTCCCGCCGGTCTGGTCCGAGTGGCAGGTCCTAATGGTACTAGAAGCGCTATTATACGGGTAACCGCCAAGGGCGGTAAAATGATTCCCCGCCTCATTTCCTTCACGCCCGCCACCGTGTCTCTAAAAACGGTTTTGTCTGACCGACAGTTTAGGTTGGAGCAGGCTTTAGAGGAGAAGAGACGGATACATAAATGTAGTTTTCCAAACTGTAAGAAGGTTTATACAAAGAGCTCTCATCTCAAGGCACATCAAAGAACACACACAGGTGGGTTTCAATGTACTTAGAGTTAAATATAATCTTGCCTTGATATATTTTGAAGGGTTTGGGACAGAAATGATGGGACCTCACATGACTACAGGGACGAAGGTTTACGGAGACCGCGCGGTCCAGATTTGAAATTGTCCCTCACAACTTTTGTAAAATCCGCAATTTTATATAATTCTTGTTTCATTCTTTTATATACTAAAACTTGCTCAAAAATTAAAAAAGCTCAGATTATTACTATGATAGAAGCGAAGGGTCTAGTTAGAGGAGAAATAATGGTGATGAAAGCTGTTGGAAAAGATTTTTTTTATCTAGGGGAGATTTTTTTTAGGGGAAGGGGTTTCGTTTTAAGGCTACTATATAGACAGACGGAAGTGAAAAAAAATAATGCAGAGGGTTTTTTTTAAAGTAAAATCAGAATTTAGGGTGGAATTTTTAGGATGAATATGGGGGGGGGGATTCTTAAAATGTGGGAAACATCACTCAGTTTGAATGCTGGAGAGAATGAAATATGGTCGGAAATAGGAAATATAAATTTCAAATCTAGAATTTATTTTAAATTAAATTAAAAATTTTGGAATCTCTTTTAAATTTTAGAATTTAAATCCTTTTCGTAGATTCTATCTTTATCTTAATATATTTTTCAATTTTTGTATAACTTTTATAATATATTATACAAAATGTTTTAACATCTTGGATTTCAATACTAAAAGCTTTATCAGTTGCACTTATAGATATTCACAAGCAACTTTTTAGTATAAACAAAAGATGGCCTTTCGCCACCTTTCACTTCCTTGCAGCCATACTCAAGCATAAACATTAAACAAATTCTTGTAGACCTGTACAGTGTACACGTGTTGCGGTTTTACAGGGTGGTGAAAAACTCTTAGTCTTGGGATTTCCAAACTGTGATCTCCCGTAAAATTCAAAACTAGATTAAATCATACAAAAATGGCTTCATATTATATTCGTCAATTATTGGGATAGGAAGATGACAGACCACATTTTAAACAGCTCTGAAGATTGTGCACACTAATCGACATGTATTTTAAAATTGTAGATCTTTATTCAAATTTAGTGTCTTAAACATACTTTTACAAGTTTTACAGAAAAGGTATAAACAAAAGTAAAGCATTATTTTGTTTAAATGTTCATTGAAGAGGTTTCTCATAAAGAATGACACTTGCGCTCAAATTGCCTCGATCTAAAGATTATAGGAATTGAAATCTTAATTTTTTATAATCCCTATATCCTCGTACCCTGATGTTGTACACCTTTGATATTCAACACTATGATGTATGCTGAGCCGAGATTCCATTTCGGGAGAATTTTCGTCTTATTGTTATTCTTTGCTAGATTAAATATTACGGATCAGGGTTGCGTTAGCTCAGGGTTAGAATTAGACCGGGGATGAAACTAGAAGAAGAGAGAGAAGGTTCAATTTTAGATCCAAGTTTTTTCTCCCAATTTCCTTGTTATGTAGGAGCTGTTTTTACCATTTAGGCTTAAACTCATTTTAAACTTTTCCCGACCTTAGCTCTTAGTTGGTAAACAAGAGAAGGAGGTTGTATATATAGCCCCTGTATTTAATAAGTTCGGGTTAGAATTTGAAACAAATATTATCATGTTTCGCCTTCTCTCTTTGTACATTCCTAAACTTCAAACCTTGCATTAAACCATACTTATTTGCGCAAGCCGCAGACCCCTCTCCACGGAAGTAGGAGGGGTTTTATCATGGTAGTATTAGAGACTATCCGAGAAAATCTTGGTAATTAGTACTCAAGGAGCTGATAACATATTTACCTAAACTATCCCCCCCCCCCTAGACCCCAGTTAACTAGCATAAAATTAATACTTCCTTATTTCAGGGGAGAAACCGTACCGGTGTTCCTGGGACGGATGTGAGTGGAGGTTTGCGCGGAGTGACGAGCTCACCCGACACTATAGGAAGCATACAGGAGCTAAACCCTTCAAATGTTCTCACTGTGATAGAAGTTTCAGCAGATCCGATCATCTTGCGCTTCATCTCAAACGTCATCAGTGATTTGATCGCTATGATCGTATTTTTGATCGCTTGATCCAGTGATTGATCAAAACTGGAGCTCTATCTGTTCAGGCTTGAACCCTGAGCTAAAACGAACCTGAGCTCCAGTCTCGGCTGTGATTATATCCTCTCCAGTTAATTATTAATTAATTAATTAATCGTGCAAAGAATGCTACCTGCTCTGTTCCTCGCAACATAGAACCATCCAAAACTAACTTCTAGTTTCTCAATCTTGTGGTCAAACCATTCTCTAGTCAGTCTCATCCAACCCTACTCTCGGAGCTAAACCTTGATCTCAGGACGGATCCGGCCCCTGCTCCGTGAAGAGGGGTTTATCTGCCCTGTCTATACCGGATACTGGAGCAAGATTATACCCGGATACTCTCGCAGTATGATTTCTATCATCCTGATGCTCTCTTACAAAAGAGGAGAGATTTATTCAACTACAATATGCATTTTCTTATCTTTTGTCCTCGCAAGGATTTGTTCATTTTAACCTTCTGGTCGAACAATTGTCTAACAACAACATTAACCCTTTAATATCTTATTTTTTTTCTTATTATTTCATTTTTAATTATCCTGGATTTCAATTTTCCTTCCGTCTTCCCAGGTTTGATCTCAACAAAAAAAATATTCTTCTGTTTTTTAAAGTCCTAGTCTTGTTTATTTTTTACATTTTTTCATTTTTTTGTGGCAACTCTTTCTCTCAATATTCTTTTTTATTCTCTTCTTTCCTAAAGTTAGTAAACTATTTTAACTCTAAATTGTTAAACCTCAAAACCCTCTGTACTTTTGAGTTCTTAATCTTTGCTCTTGTACTCTTAGTTATTAAACCTCTGTTCTCCTACTATCTTGAGATGTTAAACCTCTAGTATCCTACTACCCTAGTTATCAAACCTCTGTTATCCTACTTTCCTGAGTTATTAAACCTATGGTTCCTTGACCCTGAGTTATTAATCCTCTGTTTTCCTACTTTCCTGAGTTATTAAACCTATGGTTCCTTGACCCTGAGTTATTAATCCTCTGTTTTCCTACTTTCCTGAGTTATTAAACCTCTGGTCTCCTTGTATCCTGAGTTATAAACCTCTGGTCTCCTTGTATCCTGAGTTCTTAAACCTCTGTTCTCCTACTTTCCTGTGTTATTAAACCTCTGGTGACCTTGTTCCCTGAGTTATTAAACCTCTGGTCTCCTTGTACTCTGAGTTATTTAACCTCTGGTCTCATTGTACCCTGAGTTATTAAACCTCTGGTCTCCTTGTACCCTGAGTTATTAAACCTCTGGTCTCCTTGTATCCTGTGTTATTAAACTTCTATTCTCTTGGTACTCTAAGATACTGGAAGAATACTAAACGAAGTTTAGCTGCAGTATTTCTAATCTCTCATAAGCTCCCCCCTCTTCCCCCCCCTTTCCCCCCTCATCCCTAGTCTCATTCAATACTTGGCTTTTAATTCCTTTTCTTTTATGCAAGTACTCTTCTTTCCTTCCATACAGGGAGAAGAAAGACGACCTGATACCCGCATATTTATCAAGGTTCAACATATTTTGTTGATCCCTGTAACACCCTCTCCCTTTTTTATTCTATATCAACCAAAGAAGAAATATTCAAAACTACCAGGCTCAACATTTTTATCCCGCTCTCCACACACCAATTTCTTCATATTATCCCCACCCAGCAAACCCAGCCCAATATTAAAGCTTCAATTCATTCCTTGAATTTTAATAGAAAATAGGAAACAGTCCAAACCTTATGTCGGTCACCAAAGTTAAGATTATAAATCCAATCTTCTTCCCGCTTTTTTTCAATTTGCTTTCTTTTTGTTTTTCCTTCCTTCCTTTCTTCCTTAGAAATTAGACTAAAACTCTCCACCAATTTTTCATATTTTTCAGCTTAATGCGCGAACTAGGCTGTGAAGAATGTTTAGCAAAATGTCGGCCATTTTCTACAATAGTCGGTTATTTCAAAAAAATAAGCGAGTCAAAAAATAGAAGAATAGTTAGCAATCCAGGAAAAGTAACCTCTTGTAAATTGGAAAATGCAACCGTTCAAGTCCGGAGAAATAGTAAACAAACAAACAAATAAAATCAATAGTTTAAAATTCCTTCCTTTCATGTACACTGCCAACATCCTTCTGTACAGTGCACGTGTAGTGCTATGTACTCCATGTACCCTAAACTATGTACTATGCTTGATATTTTCAATGTTCTGTAAATGTGCTTTTAACACCAATAGAATTGACGTGTTTCAGTCCTTCCGACCGACAAGGTCTAAAATTTAAATTTTTCCTCCAAAAATGTGTTTTCTCGAGTAGAGTTCCTATATATTAATATAGTAAAACTGCTGACTACTATTTTGGTTACAAAATATGATTATTAGGCTTCTTGCTTTATTTAATCATTATTCAAAATTGCCTTATTATTATATTTGCTTTTTTTGAAATTGCGAAATAAATTGAATAAATAAATAACTGTGTCGTATTTAAAATTTCGTATTTTGAACAGTAATATTGAACAAAATTATAAAAAAATATTAAGCGTAATTGCAAAGACGACAATGTCAGATTCACCCTCAAAAAATTCCCTGATCAAGTAGGTCTGATTTCCAAAAATTATATACCAAAGTTTATAATTTGTAAATCTATTGCAGTAAAATTTTAGGAATTATCAGAGTTACCACGTTCAAATCTAGAAAAACGACAATATATTCCACATTATTGCTCAGATAAAGTTTAATCGGACATTGTCATCTTTGCTTGAATGATTACTTGAAATTACGCGTACAGTCCCTTCGACACGTTTTCCTTTAAAAGTCCCAAAAAAAATTACAAAAATCAAATATTAAATCAATATGAAAGAGTGGAAATGAATTGACTTCGCGCTTCAAACCACGGGCAGCCGTGGTAAATTTGAATTTCCGAGCCGGGTCAACCTTTCCAGTCCCAGTTTGTATTGTATCGCCCGGACATTGGGTAAATAGAGCAGACTCCCAATAGGACTACCCGGTGCAACAAGGTTGACGCGGTCAGACTTTAGGTTTAATTTACTTTTACTAAAGGGTCAGAGGTGGGTGTTTACAACCCAATGTTGCAGACCTTCGTTATTTCAATGAAGTTATATGAAGTAGTAGTAGACCGAAAAAATCTGTTAGATATTGGAATTAAAAACTAGTTAAAATTTTAGCGAGAATTATATGTAGTTCCTTAAAAAACACAGAGAAGGAACGACTCGTTTTATTTGTAAAAGGCAGCGCGCAAGAATACAAAATATGTCAGTTCAGAGAAAAATTTGGTAGAAAAATCAGTTATAATTTTTTTAACTGGAATTTTCCCGAAAGTAAAATAAATGGGTCACAATCATAATTTTAAGACGTACGTCTAAAATTAAGGTTTTTCCCAAAAACTGTAATTTTTTGTAATCCTCTGTTTTAAGCTATGAAAAAAAAACATTAAAAATATTAAATCGGAATAGAACAATTTGAAAAATTAAAAGATACTTTAATTTTATGAAATGTTTTAAATTAACTTAAGTATGCACGCGTGCACACAGTTTGCTTAGTATATTTTACACAAAACAAATGTATAAAGTTACAACAAATTTTAGACATTTTAATTGGACGACTTTCCGACCTTTCCGCCCCATACCGCCCTCTCTGTCAATAAATAGTGTTTAAAATATATATATTTAAATATATATTTTTTTAAAAAGATTGTTGTTCAAAATTTAAGTCAACGAATTTAGAAAATCATATTTTTTCATCTTAACTTTGGTAAATTCTATTGATAGCTACATTTGAAGATATTGATAGCTATATTTGAAGATATTGATAGCTATATTTGAAGATACATTAAATTCAATTTCTTAGGGACAGAACACGAACAGTTGAAAAGTTAAATAACTAAAAATTAAGAAAAAAATAATAATTTGGAAAGATTGCTACTTTGTCTAAAGAAGAGGGCAAAAAATTCAGTGACTTCAGAATAGAAGAAAAACCTGAGAAAAATGTTATATTGCAAAATACAAAATTTAAGCCGGAAAAACGTAAAATTCACGAAAAGAAGTAAATAATTGAAATGTGTTCATAAATAGATAAACAGATGAATTTACAGATGAATAAATAGATAGCTTAAAGTTAAGAATGATGGATGA